ATGGGAGGCGGCGCTGGATCATAAATGGGCCGCCTGCCTCGGACGACGTTTCGAGCCTCCCGGGGGGTTCGTACCGGCAAGCACTGGCGGTGCCTTACGGATGATCCCGGGGGGGTTACGTGCATCCCTGATCGTGCTTCCCGGAAGGGGTCGTACCCGCCAGCACCCGAGGCGCCGCTAGTTCGAACCCCCCCAGGATGGGCCTTACCGGGGGGGGGGTCGCTCCGCACCGGGCACCGCCGACATATCTATATATATATATATATGTATATATATAATACATACATGTATACATACATACATACATACATGCATGCATGCATACATACATACATACATACATACATGCATGCATGCATGCATCATGCATGCATGCATGCATGCATACATACATACATACATACATACATACATACATACATACATACATACATACATACATGCATACATACATACATGCATACAAACATACATACATATACACACATACATACATACATACATACATACATACATACATACATACATACATGCATGCATGCATGCATGCATGCATGCATACATACATACATACATACATGCATGCATACATACGTACGTACATACATACATACATGCATACATATATATACATACATACACACATACACATATACACATACACATACACATGAGCATACACAAACACATACACATACACATACACATACACATACACATACAAATACACACATGCATGCATGCATACAGACAGACAGACAGACACACACACACACATGCATACAGACAGACAGACAGACAGATAGGCAGACATACACACACACACACACATACATACACACATACATACATGCACACATCCATCCATCCATCCAAACATACATACATCTATATACATATATATATATATACATATACAATACTGCATTAGCGCTCCGCGCCATGCACCTTGTTCCTTGTAGTTTCGAATGCAGGCGGCGTGCATACGCGTGGACATGGGGCGGGGCACCGCCAAGTCGGAATGGGCGAGGAGTTCCTAAGCGGGAGCGACCAGACAACACCAGCTGAGGCCAGCTCAGGACGTTTCGTGGCCCAGAGGCGCGAATATGTCTCAGGCGAGTGGTTGGGCTAGCATGAAGCAGGGCATCCTCCTCCTCTTTCTCCTTCTCCTCCTTTTCCTCATCCTCTTTCTCTCGCTTTATCCTCATCCTCTTTCCCGTCTCTCCCCCTCTTCCTCGAATTCCTCCTCCTTTTCCTCCTCCTCCTCCTCCTTCTCCTCCTCCTTCTCATCTACCCCCTCCTCCTCCTCCTCTTTGCTATTTTCGGCATGCGCGCTGCAGGGCCCGAAGAGTCGGAAAATCAGAGAAAACCCTATAGAAAAGCAATGTTTTCGGCCTTTTCGCGTTTTCGCTTCTGGTTAGCTCGAGAGGCGTCAAGATGACCCCAGGATAGCCTCAGAGAGGCGCAAGCCGAGGCCCAACAGAGGCCCAAGGCTGGCCGAAGAGGGCCCAAAGAATGAACAATGTGTGAAAATCCACTGGAAAATCAGTTTTTTGTGTCTTCTTACCTTGTCGCTTCAGATTGGCTCTTGAGGCATCAAGATAGGCCCAGGACCGCTCCACATGAGTCCCCAGACGAGCCCCAGAGGGCACAGACTGGCTCTGGAGGGCCCGGAGGTTTGAAAGTTAATTTTAAAACCATTGGAAAAGCATTGTTTTCGGCCTTCTCGCCTTTTCGCTTCCGATCGGCTCGGGGGGCGTCCAGATAGCCCAAGGATGGCTCCAGAGAGGCGCAAGCCGAGGCCCACAGAGGCCCACGGCTGGCCGAAGAAGGCCCAAAGAAGTGAAAATCAGTGAAAACCAATGAGGAAATCGATCTTTTTGGCCTTCTCGCCTTTTCGCTTACGATCGGTTCGGGAGGCGTCAAGATAGCCCCAGGACGGCTCCACATGAGTCCCCAGACGAGCCCCAAAGAGGCCCAAGGCTGGCCGAAGAAGGCCCAAAGAAGTGAAAATCAATGAAAACTCATGGGGGAGTTAATGTGTTTGGCCGTCTCGCATTTCGCTTACGATTGGCTCTTGAGGCGTCGAGATAGCCCCAAGACGGCTCCAAATGAGTCCCCAAACGAGCCCCGAAGAGGCCCAAGGCTGGCCCAACAGGGCCCGGAGAGTCGGAAAATCAGAGAAAACCCTTTAGAAAAGCAATGTTTTCAGCCTTTTTTGCTTTTTGGCTTCCAGTTGGCTCGGGGGGCGTCAAGATGACCCTAGGATAGCCGCAGAGTGGCGCAAGACAGGCCCGAGGACTCGAAATTCGTTTGGGGGGGGTCAGGGGGGGTGCACTCTTTCCGGGATCAGCGGCCCTATGAAATATATGCATCGGAATATGTATATCTCTCCCTTCCTCCCTCCCTCCCTCCCTCCCTCCTCAATCCTGCAGTTAAGACCGAATGCAGAAGGAAAGAAAACCGTGGGAGTGGAAGGAAGGAGGCAAGCGAGAGGAGA